AGAGACCAAGTTTCACACCTATACAGAACCACAGGCAAAATTGTAGTTTTGTATATTCTAATTTTTATGTTTTTGGACAGCAGACGAGAAGACAAAAGGTTCTGGACTGAATAGTAGCAAGCATTACCCGAGTTCAAACTATTTCCTCCTGAATCGGGTTTCAATCTGTCNATGATATCCTATCACTAACGAACTCTACCCCCTTAACTGCTAATACGATTCTCTTATGTACGAAAAAACCTGTGCCTTATTCATGATTTTCATTCCCCTTTCCATAGAAAAATGTATAGTCTCCTGCTGGTGCGATGCCACCTCCATCCCATCTGACCTCCTGTACTCCCGCTAAATCTAACTTATATTTTAAGATTTCTTCTGCCACTGCCCTGAGCGAACCTGCCCTGTACAAACTTCGTACATTCCAAGTGCCAGATATCATATCCATTTTCATTAGCTTAGGTCGTTTATGCAAAGAATCTGTCCAGGTCTGAGGCTTTCTGTTCATTTTCATAACGTAATGATTTTTTACGTTGAGGAGTTGTTACCCCACGCCCAACTCCCAAGCTGGAGGGCCACCCCTTGTCGGCTGTCCGTGACTGCTTATTCAATATATTTGCAGCTTCCATCCAAAACTATAGGGTGTCTCCTCCATCCGCAACCTGAGGACATGCCATGCCATGGTGACGGACCCACCTAACATGGTAGTGGAACCATATATTAACAAATAAACATCAAGGCATAAAGACAGCAAGGATATAACACAGCACTAGGGGAACCATATATCAACAAATACACATTAAGCAGAAAGACAGCAGTTTCCTCAACCACAACTTTTACATCTGATGATGACCACTGTTTGAAACATGTCGTGAAAGCTTTAAGGTGATAGCTTTTATTAAATGTTAATAAAATTGTTGCACATAAGACTGTAGAACTAATCAAAAACACTAAGGCCGGGGCCACATGAGCGCACAAAATCGTCTGTTGTAGAAATAAGCAAGAGAGGCAAATGCTACGCTTTCTTCTGGCTCTGTTGCAGACAAAAAACTACGCACCGCATTCTGCAACTGTGTGGTGTCCTCAGCAACGTCTGTCATAAAGTACGTTCATTACAACGGACGTATTTTGTGCGCTCGTGTGGCCCCAGCCTAAGTGAAAAGTGCAACAGTATGCTACAATGTAATATTATGAAGATTTGTTTATTTTGAAAACAGAAAATACCCAGGGCCAGCAGTAGCCATGTCAGGCTAGAGTCAGGTTATTTTTGAAAAAGAAACGTGTTATTGTTTGGATTTTAAATAACCTTTCTGAATGTGTTAGGCTAGATGGGGTGAAGCCCTAAAATTCTGGCCCATGCAGACTTCTGTCATTATCTATCATAGTAGCTATTTCAGCACATCCATAGCACAAAGATAGTTTTCTGTTTCTTGAGATAGAGGTGTAGGAAAGTTATTTTGTTGGGCATACCACATTTCAAACTATATAGTGGGTGTATTTCTTGGAGAACAGTGAAGTTGAATTTGCTACTGCAAAGTTGAAAAATAATAAATCACCAGATACATATAAAATTCCATCAGAACTGATTTAAACTAGGAGTTGAAGCATTACATTCTCAGAAATGTAAACACAGTACTGAAAGAAGAAAGCAGTCTTCTGGGATGTGGCACTGTGTAGATGTGTTAACCAACGTTTCGGAGGAACGTATTGCCTCCATCTTGAGGGTAGAAGGAAAAATAAGAAGTCTGCAAGCGAAGAGACTGTTAGAACCGGTATAAGCAGGCTGGTGTTGGAAATAAACACGACTATGTGAGAGCAGTGAAGGGAGGGGGGGGGGAAGTATACATGGGAAATCAGTGGTGTGGGAGGGGGGAAGGGGCTGGGAACAGAAGCAGGATTTTGTATCATAGTCACCGCCGCGAAAACCTCAAATCTTACATAAACACAGTACTGTTTGGCATTGAAAATTTGAATGAAACCTGACACATGAATTGCATGTTAAGTTTGTTTAAAATTGTTGGTGCAGATACTGTCCAGATGTACTATATGTGATAAATACCTGCATTTCTTCAGTATTGCAGTACAGAACTTAAGGATGACTAATGTTGACATGCTAAGGCTTTTTGAAAATAAGTTTAAGTGTTTTTGCTCTGCTTTCCCATATTTATAAAAAACTATAGATTTGAGAACATGAATTTTTGGACTTCATTATATTGAAGTTCTTTATAGTGAGATAGTTCATAATCATAAAGAATATATTTTGTTGTATTTCATGTTGTGTGTTGTATAAGGGTTTATACAGGTTTAATTGTACAGTAATATTGTGGGAAAGTTTGGAACGTTTTGTTTTACAAGGTCTATATGAGTGCAGAATTGAAGATAAAAGAAATATTTACTGATGTTTTGATTGTTAATTTACTGATGTCTTGTTTTATTTGGACCTAGAGCAGAAGAAGCAAAGGAAAGTTACATGTGAAGATGCTTTAGAATTTTTATTCTTCACCTAATATTTGCGGAGTGATTGAGTTAGGAAATATGAGATGTGCAGAACATGTAGCACATTCAGAGGAACTGAGAAATTCACACAAAATTTTGGTCAGAAAACAAGGGACGACATCATTTGGGAGACCTGGATATACAGTGGACCCTGTTTAAGAAGATCCCATTTAAAGTTGTTTACTCCATAAACGTTAAAATGTTTGGGTCCCAAAAGGAGTACCAGAAGAATAGTATTATCGCTTGTATGGAGTGTGACTATAGACAGGGTTAGGATTGATTTATTGCACATTTATATGAACTACAAATAACTGTAGTGCTATTGCTAATTCACACACTATGTAATCCACTACTGCACACACATTGGTCTTCTCAGCCTGCTATGTCTTCACCAGTTTTCTGGTAACGGCTTCCAACAGCAGACATTTCCCTTTGTCTGAGTTTTTGAACTGTTCCCAGCCTCAGCTGCCTGCTTCTAACAGCAACAGCTAACAACAACTGAACCGCAGCAGTCCTTTAACTCACTCACCAACCAACTCTCTTCACTATCTTCACTTAACTCAACTGACTGAACTTCTCCCTAACTGTCCTGCTTATAACATCTTGGCATGGACTACAGAGAAAACATTCTACTGTTGCTGTTTACAGTTTGTGTTACCTAATTGTTTCACAGTCATTCCCTATCAATGGATCTAAATTCCACAATATATTTATATTTGGAATGTTAACTACATAAAGAGATACCCCACTTAAGAACCACATTTTTAAGGACATACTGCTCTGTCCAAAAAGTATCCGACCTTTGGCTGGGAAAAAAAGTTCTGTATCTGGGTGGTTACAATACCTAATCGCCTTCAAAGTAGGCCCCTTGTGATTCCACACACTTAGCCCAGCGGTCCTTACATTGCTAGAAGCAATTCTGGAAAGCTTCTTTTGGAATGGCGTGCAGCTGCGCCATCGCGTTCTGTATGATGTCCTCGCAGCTGTCAAAACAGCCTTTTAGCGGTGTCTTCAATCTCGGGAACAGCCAGAAATCACAAGGAGCCATGTCAGGAGAGTAGGGAGCCTGGCGAACCTGCAGAATGTCATGCTTGGCCAGGAAACCCTGGATCAAGTGTGATGAATGAGCTGGGGCGTTGTCATGATGCAGCTGCCAGTTGTGTGCGTCCCACAGCTCCAGTCTCTTGCGCCAGAAACTATTTACATATACACTGTCTGAAGTAATTTATTAGTGAATCAGGGTACTTGTAACCATGGATGAATTGTGTGTTCTCTGAAGTTACCTATGATCTTCAAGCAATGCAATTTGCAGTGTTGTCTCTAGCAGTATCAACTGCTGGGTCCTCACTTGTGTGTTGTCATATTCAGGAAAAATAATGCTCATGCAGCTCTCCCAATACAGGTGTTTAATTTATTCCTCACAACTGTTACCAGAAGTATATCCTGATACAGGATATTCAACTGAGATGGAGACATACTGCTTGTGATAGCACTTTGGTAGCTTGCTGCATGGAGGAAACAGTGCAGGGGGTTTCCCTGCATTGGATGCTTATTCTTTGTACTTAAACAGAACTTCTATAAGAAGATGACACAAACTTGTGTTTTATCAAAACTATTAGAAAAGACTGCCTTTTAGCTTCAGACATGCACATGAATAAGTTATGCAACACATTGTAAAGTTCTGCAGTGAATAATTTGATATCCACTTACAGCACACAACACCATTACTTATACACTATAACAGCAATGGAATGGTGTGAGCATCTCCTATACTCTATATATTTTGGATTGATAATAGTCGTAAGTATTTTAATTTGAGGGATAGATATAATTCCCATGACCAAGACTGGCTTTACCACTTGTCCGTTTTTCTAGACTGCATCTTTTTACATTAAAAAAATTGTTAGATGGCTCATTTTCATCATCGCTTAAGGATTCGCAGTCTTATTCCAGCTGTGCTAGAAACGGCAACGCAACTCGCAGAGAGACTGAGAAACTCAGCGTCCTGAAAACGGAGAATTCCAGTCTTCACACAATTGCGTTGCTGCATGGATTCCTAGTACCAGCTGCCCTCTGTGCTTCGGTGATTCATTT